AGGGAAACTCCCTTTGACCAGATTGCCTGCTCAAAACATAATCATCTGATCCCATCATGGGAATAACCACATCACAACAGCTTAAACCACACAGAATTGTGGTCAAGCCAAGTTGACACACAGCTCCAACTATCACAACTACCTTGTTTGGTTGCAGTAGAGTCAGCTCTGACTCATGGCAACATTGTGTACAACAGAACAAAGTGTTCGGCTGGTCTTGCACCATCTTCAGAATCATTGGTGTGTTTGTGTCCATTGTTGTGGATGCTGTGTCAATCCATCACATTGAGAGTTTCCTTCTTTTTCACTGACCCTCCATTTTACCAAACTTTACCTGCAGTTTCCTGCTGGGAGTGGAGAGGGAAGCAGGAACCCCTTGGGTTCTGACATCTAGATTAGGGTCTCTGTGCATATTCCTTTCCATGGAATAGGGTAAACATGTGGCTACTAAGCACCTAACCTCTGACTAGAGGTAGGAAAACTACAGATTCTCCAGGTAAAAGCCCCATCCAACCACTTGATGTTCCAGCTACTTCTCTTCCTCAGGAAACATACCTTGATACCCTCCTCTCCCAACCTAGTAGAACCCAAAGAACAAATTCTCTGTATGAAGACAAGCCTGAAGAGCAGCAAACCATCTGCATGCCGCCCTTGTCCAGCCTCTCTCTACTAACACCGTGGAGAGCATGCTCCTGATGCCACCTTGGGCTCACAGATGCAGGTTGTCCTGCATTTTAGAAAACTGAATTAGATGCCAACATTTAGAAGTTATATGTTACACAAAAACCTCAATTCATAGTTTCTTAAAAAAAAAAAAAAAATCAAAAGAGCTGGCAAAAACTAGCAGCTGAGCAGTGGTGATCCCTTTAGAGGGGATACACACGCTGTTCTTTGCTACACCCCTCTCCCTGCCACTTGACCCACTTGTATTAAGTGCCTGGTTTCTGTAAGTATTTGAGTTTGCACCCCAGTGGCATATCAAGAAGGAATGCTGGTGGTACGGTGGTTTAAGTGCTTGGCTTTGATGTGTTTGGTGGGATTCTAACCCATCAGCCTCTGTGCAGGAGAAAGATGAAGTAGTCTGCTTCCATAAAGATTTATAGCCTTAGAAACTCTACTGAACATTTCTACTCAGTCCTATAGAGTTGCTGTAAGTCAGAATTGACCTGAAGGCAGTGAGTTTGGGTGGCATGTCAAGAGTGGAAATGGGGAAGGTCGCCCCACGTGCAAACAATAAAAAGGCAAACTGCAGAGCTGTGGTTCCCAAAGTGTGTACCCCAGACCAGCTGAATCAGCATCACTTGGAACTTGCTGCTGTTGTTACATGCCATCAAGTCGGAGCCGACTCATAGCAACCCCTCCTTGGGTTTCCAAGGCGGTATCACTACAGAAGTAGATTGCCCAACCTGCCTTCTGAGGAATGGTTAGTGGGTTTGAACCGCCAGTCTTCTGGTTAGCAGTCAAATACCTTAGGCACTACGCTATCAGAGCTCTCTGGAACTTGTTAGAAATGCAAATTACTGGACCTCATCTCAGATCCACAGCATCAGAAACTAGATGTGGGCCCAGCAATCTGTGCTTACCAAGCTCTCCAGGTGATACTGATGCTCAAGTGTGAGAACCATGTGGACCTAGGAGTCCCCGAGTGACAGATAGTTAAGGGCTCAACTACTCGCTGAAAGACTGTCAGGTCAAACCTACCCAGAGGTGCCTTGGAAGACAGGCCTGATAATCTGTGATTGAGGCCAACTAACACAAACAGCTATGAAGAATTAAAAACAAAAAATAAGCAAAGTTAATCTGCTTTCTATTATCACAAAGTGCCAGCAATTTTAAACAAAGTCAGTGGGGAAATACTGCTCTTTGCCAGGGCTCCTGCTCCTACTTTGGAAAGCCTCTGCCTTGTATAAATTGTTGTCATTCTAGTCTAGGGATGAGTGTCATCACCCCTTAAACTGATGCAAGCACCAAACTCAGCTTTCACCTCTCCCTTCCCCCTAGTAACTCAGGGTACATAATTTAGCTTTAAAAAACAAAACCACTGTCATTGAGTCCATGCCAGTTCATGGTAACCCCTTGTGTGTTAGAGTAGAACTGTGCTCCATAGGGTTTTCAGTGGTGGATTTTGTGTGTGTGTGTGTGTGTGTGATTTGGTTGAAAGTTTACAGAGCAAATTCACTTTCCATATAGCAGCTCACATACATTTTTTTCTCATGTCATTGACTACAATTTCCCACAATCCAACAGCTTCCCTCCCACTTTCTCCCCATAGTTACCTCTTCCCTGTGTCCTTCTCTTCCATCCACTCTTGCCCCTGAGCTGTCTCCCTGTGCATACACAGCCCTTCTATTTTCCCATGATTGTTCTCCCCAAGGAGTGTACCTACCTAATGTATCTATTCACTTCATATGACTGCCTTTTGTTTGGCTGGAAGCCACAGGTGTGGGTTCAATTCTGGACCTAAAGGGCAGCTAGGGGCCATAGTCTCAGTGGTTCCATCAGGCTCTATCAGACCAGCAAACCTGGTCCCCTTTTTTGTTTGTTTGTTTAATGATTTTGAGTTTTGTTCCACATTGTTCTCCCACTCTATCCAGGTTTCTTCTACATAGATCCCCTTCCTAGTGGTTGACAGTGGTAGCCTGGCATCATCTAGTTTCTTCTGGTCTCACAGTCATATAGGTTGAGGACTGCATGGTGTACCAGTCACTTGGACTAATTGTTTCCATGCATCTTTGGTTTTCTTCACTATTCTTTGCTCTGGACAAGGAGAGACACTTTGTTGCATGTAGATGGCCACTTGCAAGCTTTTAAGATTCCAGCCTCTCTATTCGCCAAATTAGGATGTGAAACAATGTTTTGTGTAGCACATTATCAGTGGCTGATTTTTTGAAAGTAGATTGCCAGGCCTTTCTTCCAAGGCACCTCTGGGTGGGCTTAAACTTCTAACCTTTCAGTTAGCAGCTGAGCATGTTAAACATTTGTACCACCCAAGGACATCAACTTAGCTTTAGCTTGCTTTATCATTGCAGTTGCAACATGATTTGGAAGTTCAGCGACCACATTGTTTCTGTCAATGGATACGCATTGGCTATTGGTAGTATTTAAGATAATTTGCTGATCATTGTGTGGAAGACAGAAAAAGACAGTGTGTTCCTGCTGTCAAGGAGCTCAGAAGCCTGTCTTCATCATTCCTCTCCATTCTACTCTCCTTGCATTCATTTTCTGAGGTTCATTTTTTGATTCACTCTTTTCTCCTTTCCCTCAAAAATCTATTGACCAATCAATGGGTGAGAGGATTGCTCTAGGTGCTTACCATTAGTTAATTCCCACAACAACTCAGATAGGCAGGTGGTATTATCTTCATATTACAGATGAAAAAACTGAAGCTCAGAGAGGTGAAGTGACTAGCCTGAGGGCACACAGCTAGTAAGTGGCAGATCTTAGAGTCCCATTCTTAAAACTTTGGCTTCCTTCTCTTTTCTTTAATGGACTCAATTAGATCTTCTCACCTTGTCAACCATATAGACTTCACGTTTCAGGACAAAAGCCTTCAAGCTGGTACTCAGAGTGCCCTGACAGGAAGATGCTTATGCAAGCAACTTGCTCATCAGGATAGCAAACTGCCTTTTCAAGTGCACAACTTGTGGACTTCTGGTAGGCTGAGATCCTGCATCTTGGTGTTTGATAAAAGTATTCTCATTAAAAACAAACAAACAAGGGTACACAGAGATTTTCTTAGGTTGTATCCTCTCATACACAGATTTTCCAGGGTTAGATCTTGGTTCTGGATATAATACCCTCTTGTTTTATGTTTCCAGTACATTTGTCTTTTTCCTGAACTTACATCTAAGGGAGGAAAAAAAAAAGCACTTATTATTAATTGTATAGAGAGCTGTGCTGTCAGATACAGTAGCAACTACCACATGTGGCTACTAAGCACCTGAAATTCGAGTAGTCTGAATTAAGTTGTGTGCCATAATAAGTAAGCAAATGGCTTACTCTTGACTACTAACCTAAAGGTTGGCAGTTAGAACCCACCCAGCAGTGCAGTGGAAGAAAGGCTTGGTGATCTACTGCCATAAAGATTATAGCCAAGAAAATCCTGTGGAGCACAGCTCTACTCTATAACACATGAGGTGGCTATGACTCAGCATTGATTTGATGGCTTTTTTTTTTTTTTTTTTTTAAATAATACAAACCTGACTTCAGAGACTTAGTACTAGAAAAAGAATATAAATAAATCATTAGTGATTTTTCACATTGATTAAATATTTAGATAACATTTTGATATAATGAGTTAAATGAAATAAATCATTAAAATTAATTTCACCTGTTTATTTTTTTAATGTGGCTATTAGAAATTTTAAAGTTAAGTATGTGGCTGGTATGATACAGTATTTCTATTAGACAGCACTGGTATATATATGATATAATGGTTTAGCACACAGACTGTGTTTGAGTCTCAGCTCCACCACTTAATAGCTGTGTGACCTTGGTCAAGACTAGACCTCCCTGTGCCTCACTTTCCTTATCTGTAACAGAGAAACAATGAAAATATTTCCTGGAATTGTTGTGAGCATTAAATAAAGGCCTGACATACATGTGCTCAACAGATAGTAGCATTGTGCCTTTACCTAATCCTACAAAGATCTATGTACACATGTCTATGTGAAGATGCAATGCACAGTAGTGTCCATAAACAGGGTAAAAGATTCCTTATTAGGGCTTGGTGCTTCTGACAAGGTAATCCAAGTATAAATAAGCTTTTCAAGGTTTTGGAAAATTCCTTCACCCTTCTCCCAGCAATATTTCAACATACACACTTGTGAAATTTAACAGCTCCTACTATGTTAGGCAGGAGTCTCTGGGTGGCACAAATGGTTAAGTGCTCAACTACTAGCCAAAAGGTTAGCAGTTCAAACCCACTCAGAGGAGCCTTGGAAGGCCTGCGGATCTGCTTCTGAAAGGTTACAGATTTGAAAACCCTATGGAGCACAGTTATACTCTGCAAAGTGAGGTTGTCATGAGTCAGAATCAACTCCATGGCTGCTATCAGCCACTGCTTTAGTGACAGATTCCAAAACCAAAAACCAAACTTGCTGCTGTCGTCGGTTCCGACTCAGAGTGACCCCTCCTTGGGCTCCGAGGCGGTATCTCTACAGAAGTAGATTGCCCAGTCTTCCTTCCAAGGAGTTGCTGGTGGGTTTGAATCATCAGCCTTCTGGTTAGCAGTCAAATACTTTAGGCACTAGGCACAAATTAGAAGTGAACATTTAGAAGTTTCAATCTATAGCAAAAGTATAAAATGAAGCTAATTATTTTGATTTCTTCCCTCCCCCAGTTGCCAATCCCTTCTCTCTCTTTCTCATTCTTGCAGGTCCCCAGCGCCCCACCTGCCTATGAGAAGCTCTCTGTACAACAGTCCCTACCACCTTACTTACCCTGAAAGCCAGCAAGGCTCCTGAGAGATGCTGACATGGTGCCCTTCACACTTTGCCTTGAATTCAATCTAGATGACTGATGCTGTGCTTCTGAATGCCATGCGGACAATGTATGCCATCTCTGATAATAACGTCATTTCAGATTCTTAGGAGAGAAACTGGCAGTACTAATCAAGCAAGAAAATTATGAGAAATATTAAAATGGGAAAAACTTTGTCAATAAACCTTGTAATGAATGATCCCCTCTGTGCCAGTAGTAATTGCTAAGCTACAGTATTATTTTCCAAGGGGCAGAATTCAAGTATGGCTCCTTGGGTGGCAAAAAAAAGTAAAGTGCTCAAGTACTAGTTGAAAGGTTCGCAGTTAGAATTCATCCAAAGGTGCCTCAGAAGACAGGCCTGGAGACCGTTTCCAAAAGCTCACAGCCTTGAAAACCCAATGGAGTACAGCTGTGCTCTGCATATATGGCATGGCCATGAGTTGGAATCAATTGGATGGCAGCTACCACCACCACCAATGTCTGAGAGGAAAGATTTAAAACAATAAAGACCATTTATACATGAGCTGTTAAAAGAACCCTGTAAAAGTAACAATATTAACCTCACTACAGTATGGTTTTGAAAAAACAAAACATTCCCCACCCCATCTCAACACACATCACACAAAGTCACACAAAGACACCTCCAACTAATCTTTTTCTTTTTTTTAAATTAGGTTAGCACTAAATTCACTGATTTAGGGAGATAACATTTTGTAACCATTTGTTTGTTTTGCAGTTTCTTTTCAATCTTTTAAATTTTGTTCATGAGAGGTTTTGCTGTTTAAATTTTTCTAATTTTCATCTACTCAAAAGTTTTCCAAAAATTTAATAATAAAATTTAAAAATCCTTTCCTCTATCCTCAATCTGGGAGCTCTGGTAGCATAGTGGCTAAGGCACTTGACTTCTAACCAGAAGGCTGGTGGTTCAAACCCACCAGCCACTCCTCAGAAGGAAGATGGGGCAATCTACTTCCGTAGTGATGTTGCCTTGGAAACCCAAGGAGGGGTCGCTATGAGTCGGGTCCGACTCGACAGCACATAACAACAACAACATCCTCAATCTATGTGCTTCTCCATTGATGCGTGACTGCCACAGCATGATGCTGAGCAGAATGTGGCAAAGAGGGAAGTTAGCGATCTCCTGACTGAGCAATCAAACATGGGAAAACAAACAAGGAATTCTATGATTTCTATTGTGTTTTCCCCAAAATTGTTATCCATTCTTAAAACTGGTTGCCTCCACCCCTCACTTTATCTTGCTTTCTTGCAGTTCACTAGCTCCATACCACTGTAATGTTCTCCAGCACAGCACCTCACCTCTATTAGCATTACTGTCACAGATACCAATTCTCCAACCACCTGCATGGCTCAACTAGTTGTATCCTAATTGACTTCCCAGTCTTTAATCAGGTGAACAATGACCAAAAAAAATCCCAAACCCAGTGTCAGATTACCCAATAAGTAAGGTAAGCACAGGTTTACTTGTGCTTAGTTACTACTCTGTAGTGAACAATGTTACATTTTTCACATCAAAGATTCTGCTTCTAGAGTTCTGGCAAGATGGCAAACTAGGCACAAGGACTGCACAGATGCTCTTCAACAAAGAAAAGGGAAACCAATTAACACAGACACAAAAGATAATCCTGGACCCCTGATCCTTGAAGGGAAGGATACAAAAGTGGACTAAACCCCAACTAGCAGAAGAATTTGCCTGAAAATACCAAAAAAGGAGACACACAGAGCTGCGGTCTGGCAGCGGACTGAGCAACGCTGACGGCACAGACAACACGGCTTGGAGATTCCCGAGTGGTGGTAGGACCTAATAATTAACCCAAAAATCACTCTACTAGCCAGGGACTGCACGGTGGCTGGGGAACAAATGGAGAAGGTGAAGAGAAAGGTGGGTTGAGTTGTGGACTTTTGCCGGTCCGGAGGACACCGCCATTTTGTAGGCTTAAAAAGCGGCTTGACTATTTTGGATATTTAAAGAGACAGCGCTCTTGTAGATTCCTGCGGTGGTAGGACTTAAGAATTAACCTAAAAATCACCCTACTAGCCAGGGACTGCACTGAGGACTGTTCACTGTGGCTGGGGAACAAACGGAGAAGGTGAAGAGAAAGGTGGGCTGAGCTGTGGACTTTTGC